CCCATCGTGACACGCCGCCATCACGAATTGTAATTTTTCGCTTTTAATTTGCATTTTATGGAAACCCGATCGAAGACTAACAGCGTTGCAGTTTTAGATGGTACTACAAATATTATGCCAGTTGCAAACAAAAAAAGCATACATTTGGACGGATTTTAGGAGTTTTACCCACGTCTAATAATTATAAACCCACAAGTGATGTGTAATTGCATAATCATACCGAGTAGTTTCAATAATTATTTCACTGTGACGTGAAAAATGAAAGGACGAATTCGTTATGAATAGGAACGAAACGATGGAGAGAGTTCCTAAATTAAGTGCAAGTGCGGAGTCTATGGACATCGACGCATGCAGTGATGACTAAATCTGCATTGACGGCCGAGCAAATTTTTGCTTGGTGCATAGTACTTAATATAAAAACTATTTGACTATTAAATATGTGCTGTCTTCTCTAAAATATTATCTGCTAATCATTTATATTAGCTAAATTATTATTTAATAAAATATTTAACATGTATAATAACTACAAGTATTATATTAAGAAAAAACAGATGAATATGAGAGGATAAATATTAAAATCTTATATTTATGATTAAATTGAATGTCAAACAAATTCTTATGTTAAACATGAGGTAGCGCATCTTAAACTTAGAGTGGGCGGGTCGTAACAATCAGTTAGTAGTAAGTAAAATTATGATTAAACAGATGGTATTATAATTAGCAGATCGGTGTCAAGAACAGAGCAGAGTAAGAATCTTTGAATAATTAATAATGGATTAATACTGCAGAATGGAGAGTATAATATAATACTGCATGCGAACTTGCAACGAGTTATTACCGACCCCCGGTTTTGAGGACACTGAATCAGTCATACTAACCCAGCATCATGTTAATTAAAAGTCCAAGGGTTCCAGATAAAATATTTTCATTATTCTGGGGGCAGAAGCAGGACATGATTATCTTGTCAAGATAAAATACAATTTTTGGTAGGTGTAATTGTCACCTTCAATAATTTTTTGAATATTTTTAAAAAAAATGTTTGACAGACGCATCGAAATTGTTGGAATTATTTGAAGATAAATATTAATTGAAAAAAATAAAAGGGAAAAAGATCGAACGCGTGAAGGATGACGGCGTTAGGCAGAGAATAAAAAAGTCGCAGTAGCTGGATAATTTTTTTTTTTTCGGCGGAAAATATATTGACGTGACCGCCGTGAGGGGGCCTTTGCCTCTTATGGCGGCCTCATCGCTTTCGCTTTCGCTTTCACTGGGCCTTGTCTCTGGCGCCGTCTTTCCAGAGATAAACGTTTCCTATTTAATTATTACTCTCCATCAAGATTACCAAAAGAACGAAAGAGGGAAAAAAGTTGGATTGAAATTGAATATAACATTACTTAAATTTATCAGTCATTTTTAGTGTACCCACTTTGCCATTGGGATTCCTTGTTCAGCAGAGACTCGTTCAAAACGGAAGTCAACTTGCTGATAATAATAATGATGATGATGTTGATGGGAAGTTACGTTCTCGAGTAAAGGAAGGGAGAAGAGCGCAGAATCTAAATTGGGTCAGGTTGAGGGCACAATATCCAGCGAAGATGGAATGTGCGGAAGTTAGTCTCCGCTCTAGATATCTATTTGTGGTTATTTCTTTTAAAAATATCTCTTGACTACAAATTAAACAACGACAGGGAATTTAATGAAAATGAGTATATATTGAGGGCGCGGTCAAATAAAGTCCCCATGCACGGAGGCTATTCTTCCTCCCACGGTCATTTTACTTGGCTGTAGGGATCCAAGGCATCGCTAAGAATATTTGAGATGAAATGCTGTTTTTTAGATAAAAGAGACTTGTAAAAACATTTCGGGATGTGTACTTTATGTGTTAAAGTCGTGGTCAAACATCTCCGTCCTTCACGAAACTTGTCCTGCTTGGATCAAAGCTTCGCCATAACATCTCAAGTTTGGATCTGATCTGGGCGTTTGGGTCTGGTCCAAAACAAATCGATAAGGATAATGGGAATGGCGTCGCTTATTATCAGGCGAAGTAGGGGTGGGATTGGGAAAAGGGGAATGCTAAGAAGGGTTACAGGATAGAATATTAATGTGGAGTTCTTATTTTACATGTATATATTCCGGAGACATCGATAATAACACATATACGCGATGAATGATGTCATGATGCATTATTATTATTATTATTCACAGAGAAGCAGCTTTTAATTATTGGATGGAATCTAGTTCCACCATCTGACGATAAATCGAAGACAGGGCAAAATAAATTAAAAAGACAGTGGTCCCGTGCCAGTATCACGGAAGAAGAAAGTAGAGCCGAGGAGGGCAGAGGGACAGAATAGATGAAAGAGTGGACCAAAATTCGATGCCCTCCACTGCACTCTGCTGCAACAAAATGTGTTTTTTGTGAACACAAACATGTACACGTGAGCTACAGGTGTTGGATGCAGTAAAATGAGTTAGCCCCTCACAACATGATCGAATCAAGGTTTTAATATTGTCAAGAGAGGTATTTAGATTCAGTACATAATAATGTCTCAAATAGAATTATTTTTATCAAAAAGATACTTGTATATTAAAAAAAACCGTATACACGCGAACACCTTTTTAAAATTTTTCTTTTGCCTTTTATTCAGAGGCGGCAATCGCAGTGACATATCAGGCCCATCATCCAATGTTAGATCGGCCCGCACATCCCCCTAACTCCAATATTAACCCTCACCCGACAAACGCAGGATAGGGACGAAAAGGGGTTGATTTCTGTGCCATCACAAATGCCATATCCTAATACAAGTTTAATAATTTAGAATTTTGCTTCACTCGTCTGTCTTTTAGAAGTAAATGAAAAATTTAAGTAAAATCAATATACTGGTTGATTTTCCAATTTATAGAAACTATTTATACACTCTATAACAATTCGGTAAATGATAAGTATTAATCATAATTTGTGAGTGACATTGATTTGCTGTGATCTGATCTCTGTAAATTTTATATTTTTGGAAGCCTTGTTCTTGTGGGTGTTTAAATTTTACATCAAAAGCCCATAATGAATGGCTGGGCTTGCTTCCCAACCTTAGTGGGTGTCGTTGAAGCGCGTAGCCACCTTGCCTGGGTGGGCTTTACTGAAAGGCAATCAAGGGTAGAAGAATAGGTAGAACCGCAGAAGAATGCTGGTGAACCCGTCTGGCTGAAACCCAACAAAATGAAGGAACCCAGATAGAAGTCATTATCTGATGGGGAGGACCAGGAAACTAACGAAGAAGGAGTTGATCTTGTCATTTTCAAAACTCAATCTTGACACGGTTTGAAAAGGATTTGGATTATTTTAGGGTGAAAAGATGTGCTGCGAGGAGACATAAATGCACAAGACGTGTTAGTGAGGCCCGCTAATTGGAACTCCAAACCCCAACGTTCTTGTACGCGTATGTCTCTCTCCACATGAACGTAGCAGCATATTTCTTGACCAGGAGAAATATCTCATCTAAAATATAGGGCGATCCACGACGGAATCCAAAACATGCTTTGGAACTAAACTCACTGTGTTGGCAAAAAAAAAAAGAACTAAACTCACTGGTCTGGTCAATCTCCGCTTTCGAGAGTTCACTGTGAGAAGGATTTTCCCGACTCCAAACAAGGCCACGTGAAAAATTAAAAAAACATGCACCAGGCATCAGCATCTTCCTTCGATAGGTTTATGCGCTTAGCAGTTAGCATAATTGGGTATGCAAAAAATCACAACACGTTCCCACCTACCTACGTCTATAAAATATTCTTAATATAAGACATATTTAACTAATTTAATTAGATTAAAAAAATTAAAAAAATTAGTTAATTATAAGAAATGTGACAAGTTTTTTTTAAAACACTATAATCATCTTTTTTAATATCCTCCCTCCTTTACTTACTTGATTATAGTTAAGAGAGTATCCATAAAGGTAATTTAGAAAAAAATGATAAATATAAAAAATAGGTATTATATTTAAGATTAAAATTAACTTAATAATTATGTCTTATATTAAGAATGAGTATTAAATAATGATCTCACTCAGATTGGCTAAGATAAAATGTTACCGGGAAAAAAAAAATCAAAATCCGCCCGTTTCATTATTACATAGACTGTTCTACAGTACTATCACGCTGTCATTTTACCGAGAATGATGATTTTTAAAATTGATGGGCTAATTTTTTAACTTCAAAAAGTCTAAGGCTCTGTTTGGATAGCACCCCAAACCATGGTTTGGGGAAAATGCTACCCAAACAACCTCTCCAAAAACCAAAACCATGGTTTTGGGTCAAAACCATGGTTTTGACTCTAAAACCATGGTTTTGGAAAAAGCAAAATTTTTTTGCTTTTGGAGAAAAAAGGGAGAGTGTGAGGGCCTATATGATATGTATCTTGTTATTTTTTTTATAAACATATTTTTTTATAATATATTTAATCTTATATTTTATAAATATATATAGACATTAATTATTTATTAATTATATTATCTTATGTATTATTAATTATGTTGGTAAAAAACATATTATTAACAATTTTATTTCTTCAAATTAAAATATATCATAAATCTATTTTTCTGTAATTATCATATTAACTTATGTCTTTTTTTTAGTAATTTGTATATATAAAAAGTGCTTCTGATAACAACTATCCAAACACTCTCACTTCTCAGAATCACTTTTTTACAAGATCTATTCTTCACAGAATCTATTTTTTCCAGAATCTATTCTCCAGAATCACTTTTCCAAACCACGGTTTGGTTTCATCCAAACACACCCCCTAAGCAGACCTGTTTATCCCGGGAGGGAGGGAGAGGGGGAGAGAGAGAGAGGTTTAAGCCAATTTAATTTGATAACAACTCGATTAATGTGGAAAAGAATTTAATTTATATTAATCGGACGCAAAAGAATTACTAAGAATAAAGGAAGAGGAGAGTGCGACCGGTGAACGGTACCAATATATTGCGTCAAACACTGAAAGAGGGCACCAAAACTTCCATGTTTTGAATTTGGGATTCTTGCAGCTTGCACGGTCTCCCTCCACTTTTTATTAGAAACCCTACTTACTCGGCACCTGCGTGTTCCTGTTCTGCTCCTTCTTATTTTGATGGGTTGGACTCTGCTTTTTTGGCTTCTAATCTGTTTTCCTCTCAACATTGCCCTCCTCGCCTCCACTTTCTACCAGGTATTGTTTACTTTACCAACTATTCCTCCTCCCCATTTCTCTCTTTTTACCCCCCAAAAAGATAAATTTTGTTGCCAGTTTGATTGCAATACACGATTCACTCTGATTCTTTTCTTGCTTAGTGAATCGTAAGTTCTGATTCGTTTTCCTTCTGGTCCCAGGTTTTGATCTTAACAGACTTGGAAGCTGATTACGTCAACCCCTATGATGCTTCATCTCGGATCAATTACTTCGTCCTTCCTGAGTTTATTGGGCAGGGGCTACTGTGCGCCCTCTTCCTCTTCACAGGGCACTGGTTCATGTTTTTGTTGACCGTGCCCCTTACTTGCTATCATGTTATGCTGTAAGTTTGATTTTTAATCTTCCAAGAATTTTTTCCCTCGCGTGATGCTTCTTATTATGTTTGGTAGGGATAAGTTTCTCTCTCCTGTTATTGCTGTTATTTTTGCTTAAATTTTCATCACATTTCATTATTTCCTGGTTGGATGCTTCTGGAAGATGTGTTCAATGTGCCATCCACCTTCCCGTTTCGAATTTGTTTACTTTTTAATCAATAAAAATGTTGACTGTAATGTGGAAATCTATAAACGAATTTACAATGCCGTGCATTTGAGTGAAAAATGAATTACTATCTGTGATTTTTTTTTCTGTTTTTATTTTTTGTCTGGCGCTTCATATGAATGTAGCCTAGGGATTCATATGTTTCCCTGGCATGATTATCTTCTTTCAACGACTTAGGTATGTGAAGCGGCAGCATCTCCTTGATGTCACCGAAGTGTTCAGGGTACTTAATGCTGAGAAGAAATATCGGATTGTCAAGCTTGCCTTCTACTTATCTCTCCTCCTCATCACGGTATTCAGGTTTGTCATGTTCTTAACATAGCACATTCTGGTCTTTTGTCCTTCGACGTGTGATTTCTCCCCGCATATTATCAAGTGTACCTTTTAATTAAAGTTTTCTGGGAGGGACCAGCTGGCTTATCTTAGAATCTGCATTTTAGATCAAACACCTGAAGTTCTCATTGGATAACCTAAAGCATATGATTTTTTTTCTTTCTCAGAATAATGGATATAATCTCACAGAATTTGCTAATTGAGAGAAGAAATGATGCAAGCCATATTGATGAGTATGTAATAGTGTGTGCAGATGTCACTAATGGCATGTATGAAAGAAGACATACATCTTGTGGTAGTACTAAATGTGTAGAATGCAACGTTTCCTTTAGTATCAGCTATGATGTCGACATACAACATCAAAATTAAAGTTAATCTAGCCAGACCGCCTTTTCTGCTTCATCTCGTTTCAGTTCAGTTTTATTAAGTCATCTTGTTATCTACATGGGGTCTGGCCTGACCTGAACATTGGTTGAGTTGAAATATAGCCTGGTAGTGAAGGTGGACTGAACTTAGTGGGCACCTCATGAAAGAACAGTCTCTACTTCACAGCTTCACTAAATCAGAGTGTTATTCATTTAGTTTCCTAGTTGCTTCTTTAAGACAGAACGACTTGAAGCATCTCGTCTGCCTCTAACTTAAGTTGGTTCTTGCACTTGATGTCAGACTTTTCATTCTCAGTCCTCACTGACCTAGCCACGTCAAGATCCTTGAACACATTTGTGAAATTTTCTATCATAATCATAACAGCTGTTGACATCTCAAGATCGTGAATATTTGTGTAGGGCTGGGGTGTTGTGGGTTGGTGCAGGGCAGCATTGAAAACATCTTTCTTCTAATAAGCCATTTCTGAATATGGAACATTTGAATGCTATAGAAGGCATCTGTTCTGTAGCCTTGTCTCTCGCCATGCAATTTTGATATGTTTTCCTCCCTTCTTCTCTTGTGGTCCTCTTTTCGCATTTCCTTTTCTGGGGATAACTAAGATGTGTGCTTGCATGGGTGGGATAGATCTGTGGTATCGTTTTAGTTCTACGTTCATTTATTTATTTATTTTGCTTTGTGAATAACATTCTTCATGTCTGGCTAACTTCGTTACCCCCGAGAAATCTAAAGGATAAATTTTTCTGCCCACTTTCTCTTTGCAGGCTTACGTTATTTATTGTGTACTATTTAGATCTTGATGATGACTGATGATTCTTCATGTAACCACTTTTTGAGCAATATAGCAATCACTCTGTAAGTTGCTTCTGTTTCTTTGGCCTCTTCCTTGGTCTATTTTTTCGTGGATCAGTCTGTACTATCTTTTAAAGTCAACCGCGCATTAAAAAATGATTTGTTTGTCAATGGCTTGAATGAATATTGGCAACTTGGGATATGACCATCGTTTGAACGAATATTATTAATTCCGCCTCCTGCGTACTTATGTTTAACTATAAAGGAGAGGTCAGCTAAAGCATATCTACTTTTTTCGAAGTCACATTCCTTAGAATGTTACATCATGTTGTAAAAACTCTTGGGCATTAACTCTGCTAGTTAGTTAAAAAAAGTTGTGCTTTTCTCGGAATCAACTGTGAAAGAGGGTTTATCTTCTAAAGCCTCTCGTATGCTTGTTTGCCTGATGTGGTGGTGCTGAATCGCAATTCCAAGGGAAAGACGTATCACGTCCAGCCATGGCTTGATCGGTTTGGAATTTTTTTTGTTTTTTCCTGGTTGGCTTCTGCTTGGCATTTAAACTTGGGACCTCCAATTTAAGCCTTCGTGGGCTTACCATGAGGATCAAATGAGCCAGTCTTTGCTGAGCATCAAAAGGTAGGAGAGAGATATCCTGCCTGAGTCATTATGTTGTCGGACATGTTCCCATTGAAGGGACCTGAAGCCATAGCGGGCTGCAATGGTGATATAAGCTCGAGGACAGACTCGCGATGCTTCTGTCCAAGACGCGTTTACTTGGGCTTGATTAAGTTGTAGGTTAGATGGGCCTCCTAGAGATAGGAGTTGGTCTTTTCTGGTGCGGGTCTTAGTCTCTTCGGAAAATAATAAAAAGATCCAAATAGGCGTCGTTTTTGGAGCGATAGTGCGATGCGCTTTAGTTCTTTACTTTTTTTTTTTTTGGGCAGGTGTTAGTTCTGACCTCTAAGTTGTGGTTGATGAGTAAGTTGAGGAGCTATTTCCTGAATCATTAGGCGAAGGACTAAGGTGATAACGTTTTCTCAGTCGGTCTCATGTTGTGGTCTTATAGCTCATCCCGGTTGATATTAAAACGTTTGTTCGGAGATAGGCGGGCTATGTATAATATATGAGATTGTTCACCACATAATTTTCTTTACCTCCATATAATATAAAACTCATTAGAAATTGCGTTATTTATAAGCTACAAAAATGGACTCGCTTAGATTTCGTGTAAAGCATAGATCAATAATATAATTTTTTCTTTTGGTGAACAAGATCAATAATATAATTAGTTATAAGTATTATGAACAAGTCTTAAATGTATCAAATATAAAATCAACGAGAATTCATATTATTTATGAATTATAAATAATATGACTGACTATAAACTTTATATGATGCAAGGGATTCAAAATCTAGTGAATTTCATTTTAAAAAAGGTGAAAAAAGGAGCATGTGGTGTGCTGAAAGTTATGTCATAAACGTGGAAGTGTAGTATATGCCGCAATAAAATCCGATAATTTCTTATTGGACTGAAACATCACTAGAGTGGAAGAGCAAAGAAGCATTACGTTGTCAGAAATATTAGAGATTTTCCTTCCTCGGTTCCATTTCAGATGTATTAATACGATGCGTGCTGTATTTTGTATCCTGCAGGGTCTGGCTATTATTATTATTATTATTATTAAAGCAAAGCATCAGTAGATAGCTTTAAATTTTGAATGATATGGTGGTGGAAAGAGCAGTGAAAGGAAGGGTAAAAGAGAGATATAGAGAGGTGGGCATTGGGGTTATGTGTGAGATTAGGTGAGGCCCTAAAATTGAAGGTCGAGGGAAAAGATGAGTTGAGAATGAGAAGGAGGCCACCCCCAACGCCCGACATCCTGTAGGCACCTTCCCAGCACTGTGTCTATGCCTTCCTCCCCTGTTCTCTCCTTGGTAATCCCCATTACAGCTCTGTATTACTTACATTACCCTTTCCATTTCAACTCATAACTCCCGATCCCTGTGGTTGTGGTGGTGTGGTGGGCGCCCCCGACCCTACCCAATTTCCTCTGCTGACGTCCTCTCACCTGTTGGGTCCTTTTCTCCCTCTGGGCTCTGTCTTCCCTTGCGGGCCCATTATCATTAAGGCCTGATGTGCCCTGCCTCCCGGCGTCACTTTCACGAGGGCCCCCCGGCTACGCCAATCTCACTGTCATGTCCTCTCCTTCCCTTTCCTCTAATATCCTCCCCATTTCTAGCTGTCTTTCCCTCTTCCCCATACTACCCCTCCCACCGCCTCCATCCCTGTTTCTTCCCTTCTTATCGCCAAGGACCAAATTCCCAACTATAAACAAAATATGACTGACAAATAGTCTCAATCCATGAATGATTAGTGTTCTTTAATTTCGACTAGAGGGAGAGACAGCCGGAAAGAGGGCGAGATATTTCAAAATTTTGTTTGTGCGGGAAGATAATTTTGGTGGGAGAATATTAAAAAAAAAAAAGGAACTTTAATTCCGTTGTGTTTGGTTTATATAATTTAAGAGACGGGGCGAAAGAAAGAGAGGAGATCAAAGATACTGGAGTTGGGCACAAAGGGATGGAGTGTGATGCCTCTTTCAGCTGATTGATTTGATTTCATGAATATGTTCTGTGGTCTGTTTCCCATTGCAGAGATGCTTATTGCCAGACATGTCTGATCCACTCACCTTCTCATACTGCCCGCCCAACTGTTCTCCACCCCCAAAATGATTCCTCATTCCTCTCATAACCACTTTATTATTTATTTGCATCATTTAATGTGGAGTTCCCTTATATTTTCATCTACAGTCCCAGCCAGTCCCATATCAGCTCCTACTTCACAGCGTTATTTATCATTATCTCCGTTTTCGTTGCTACGCAGGGGTTTTTTTTTTTTTTTTTTCCTTCAAGCGATTCTATCTTAATCATTGTCATTTGAATTTTGATTCGTCAAATTTTACGAGATTAGTCTCTTCTGTTAGACTTAATTCCGTGAGAGGCAAGGTCACTGTCTCCCAAGATATAATGGGCCTTCTTCACGTGGGCTGCACACTCTTTGAGCCCCACTGAAGCGGACATTCTCTTCTCTTTGGGCATTTTATTCATAATGATGACAAACAAAAAATCTAATTATAATGCATTTCGTTTTCGTTTCAGGATTCTAATCTCTACACTAAACAAAAAAAATTTATAGAGAGAGGGAGAGGGATGGATTGTGATTTATGAGGAGATCTTCTGTGGTCCAAAAAGTCCCCGTAAGAATAACTTGCGAATTTGGTCAACTTCAATACTTCATCACCCCATCCGCTCAATCTCTTTCTCCACTATCCTTTCTTTCTTTCTGCCTTCCCCTGCCCGCGTCTTCTGTTTTTCGCCGCTTCCACAGTAATTCAAACTAGGACTAATCAATTAAACCAATGATGAGGATAAAAAAGACAACAAGTTTCTTTTAAAACAATTCAAAGAAAAAAGACAACTCTGCTCCTGCTAGTACTCTTTTTAACCATCTCCTTCTATTAGTACTTAATAAACACATAAATAAAAAAATCCAGTCATTGGAGGACCTGTATTATTTGGTTGTTCTACTAGTCCTCCTAACCCGTCCCCCTCCTAAAAAAAAAACAAAGGAAAAATAAGACGAGTGCTGTCACTTGTCAGTATATGCCTAAGTAAATAATGTAACAATAGTAAGAAGAAAACGGGCTGGGATGAAGAAACTTGGGTACGAACACAAAATATGAAATCACAAGAAAATAAGTATGAACATCGCAGTTTAGTAGTTTACACCTGTCGCTCCGTATTTTCTTATGTATTTTTTTTTTTTGAGCTGAAGTATTTTCTTATGTATTGTCCCCAAATAAAACAGAGAGAGAGAGAGACAGAGAGATTTGTTATAGAGGATGTGTGAATGGGTAGAACCGTAGAAGCAGTTAGTGGAAGAAGATTTGACGGGAATTACTGGAGAGGAAGGTGAAGTGAAGGTGACCCATTTTACCGGACGAAGAGGAAAGGAGCGGGCTATTAAATGTCAATTCAGTGTTGAACCACAAACACAAGAATCCAGTGCTAAGCTACCAACTGCTGTCTGGGTGAGTGAGAGTAGGACCCTAGGACTCATATCATATCATCCGCGAATCTGCATCACAATTCGAAGTCATCACTCGTCCATTCCTGCTCAACTCTTTCAAGTGGACCCACACGACCACGCTAGGCCCTTTCCAACCCTAATGGGCCTTGTCTCCTTCCACGACAGGCCCAATTGTTCTTGTCAGCTTCTGTCTGCATCCTGTCTTCCACCCTTCTCCTTCCCTTTTCTTTTTTATTCATTTTGAGCGGATTTTCCTTCCCAATTTTCCTTCCCCGTTACCCCCCCATATATATATATATATATATATATTTAAAAACGAGTTCACTGCGGTTTGTTTTCTATCTGCCAAAAGTCAACCCTCCAAAAAGATTCGTAAGTCATCCTGAATTTGGCTAGTTTAGAGGCACAACAAGTTTTCAGACATAATTTCCCATGCTTAGTGAAATGCGAATAAAAAATATTTCTTACATTGTTTAATAAAAAAGCAATATTTTCTTAAGGTGAGACGAAAATATGATATATACTGCTCATGGATGACTTATTATAACGAGGCGGAGATAATAAATGATGTTCTGCCCCTCACCAATCAAGGTTTTTCCTTCAAGAAGCCATATTGTGCAGTGTACGTCTGATTTTTGAAACGTCATAAAAGAAGCACGGGAGTGGCAAATAATTAGTTGGGATAAAAGGTCATAAAAGCGCGTTGGCGGGAGGTTGGAGAGGAGAAGCTTGATGGGAATGGACGAAATAGGTACGCGTACGTCCCATGGAGGATTGGGATGGGTCGTTGGTTGGGCGGGCAGTGACAGCGCTGAAACAAGCAGTTGTACTGCAACTTTGGTTAAGTCTCAACCTCTTCCCCATGGGACAGACTCGTTACTGCTTGTTGTTCATAATAAATGGCAGCCCTGGTGGTCTTTAAATAGTGAAGATGAGGCGCAGGACCACTTATTATTATTATTATTGGAGCTGCTCCAACCTCACCTTTCTCTGCCACACACTTTGAACATGTCACCTCAATCTCCTCACAGAGAGTCCTTAACTTGATGTTCTAAAACATGGTACAAAAACATTATACCTCATGTCTGATTCATGTTCAGGCTGCATTGCATTGCGCTTGCACCAACCACAATTGTGAGTGCATGGTCAAAAAATAGGGCGACAGTGGGATTGTAAGAGGAGGTTGGAGTGAAAGAAGCTGGGGAAGGCAAAGAGGGTGGGTAAGTGGAGGATGGAAGAGGAAGCAAATAATGAAAGAGAAGAGGGTGGGATATAGGAGGGAAAAGGCAACATAGGGGTGTACGTATTAGAGAAGGAGAAATGAATGAATAGGGAAGGTACCACTACCAAATTGGAAGAGGAGGGTAGCGTGTAGTGTAGAGTTCAGAGTAGGCGTGAATTAGCATATGGACAACACGACTCTGTTGCTTACTCATCTTCCACCTGCAACGCCTCAACTTCATAATCACCCCCTCTATGCCTGTTTATTGTTTAACTATTGCTCATAATAGTATTTATTGTTAAGCTAATTATACTTATCTATTTAATGTCGCCATAATGCTTTTATTATTCAGCTTGAGCTATCCAAACCTCGCCTTCTATTAAAAGGGTACAGCAGAGACAGAGCAGGTGCAATTTTGAAGAGAACTCGAAGCTTTTCAATAATTCTCAAGTTACTTCAAAATTATGACGAAAGAAAAGTATACTTAGACGGGGAGCTCTCTTCCATTCCTTTTTCTCCCTCAGTTCCCCCCCCCTCCACCCCTTCCTTTTTAAAATGTACCGTTTGACTTTATTGAGGTGGCTAAAAAGTAAACCACAACTTTTGTTTGCTTTGATGTCATGACAACCCTCTTCTTCTAACGACAATTTTGCTTCCAAAAGCCTTCATCAAAATTCCCCTTGACTCTCTGTTTTTATTGTTACTATGATCATAATGATGGGATAATCATATTTTCCAACAGATAACAATTCTGTACAAAAAGTCATCTGAAATTGAAAAAAATAAAAAAGAAAGAGGCAAGGACTGTGCTTTCAAATGGTGTTACAGTGCAAACCAACACCTGTAATACCATAGACAAGGGGGAACAGAACAGGAAGAAGTGGTTTGATGTGATTTTTTGAGTGCACAATTATCTGAGGCATTAAGAGCAGAATAATGGGGGGAGATGGTGTTTTTCTAACGAGGATAGATATTCCGAAGTACAGGGAACATGGTTTAGTAGAATAAAGGGGGGAAACCTAAGATTTACAGAAGGAATAACAAATGAAACGAGCAACTCGTGGTCCTGTCATTAGTTGTCAGGATAATTACTAATTTCCTATTATCACATAATCGCATGCTCCAATTCTGATCAAAATGAGAAGCAGCGATGGCGACAGGGCCTCCTAAGTGTGGTCGACGAAATACTCCGGTTGAGGCAAAAGCTGAGGGCTCCCATTTGGGGTGGGGGGGGCTCACCTTTTTCTTGGGAACCCGTTACTGCCCTGTCTCTTTTTTCTTTCTTTTTACCTCCGAAAGATACGAGGGGCAGATGAGTAATTGGAGTTGGGAGTCACTTGGACGTTGACAGGGCAATGGAAGAAACTTTAAAAATTAAATTAAAAAAAAAATGGAGAGAAAGAACAAGAGAAAATTATAGAAAAGGAACCCTCAAATTAGAATTTTTCAGTTCAGGCACATAAAATGATAGAGGAAAAAAAATAAATCCAAATTAAAATTTTGAAATTAAAAAAAATGATAAAAATGTCTCTTTGTGAATAATATATTTTAAAATATAAGTTTTGATTGTGAAATAACAAATTTCAATTTAAGATTAATAACACATTTTATATAATATTAAATTAATTAAAAATGACAACAATTCATATGAAAATAATAAATCCTGAATATGAAATTACAGATCTACCTTTGAGATTAACAACACGTTTTTTCAATGACATTAACAAATCAGCATTTTTATATTTTCTTTAAATTTCATAATTTTAATATATATTTTTTTATCATTTTGAAACATTAGGTGTCTGAATTGATAAACACCAATTTTAGGGTATTTTACTGAATTTTTCCCAAACAACAATAATAGAAGAGGAAGAGGGGAATGCGTATAAATGCGAGAAAAGGACGCGTCATCTTCCACGATTAACAACTCTGTCGGGCCTTAGTTCCCGTCCGGTCCCCAACCTATGGGACCGAACCACTGTTTTACGGCCCAATCTTCGCTCACACAGTCCAGTCCACTTCTCTTACTTGAGCTTTTTTTTTAAAAAAAAAAAAAAAATTTTTAAGCTCGGTTCAAATAGCTTCTAATTTTTTTATGGACTCTCCCGCAACCGCAATCATTTATTCACGGACGGTGATCTCATAATTGTTGTCGTCATTTTTTCATGAAAGTTTAAATCAAATCTAAAATGTTCACTGTTCCTTTTTTTTTTTTTGGGTGGTTTGCATTCAGCATCACTCGTCAGTCGTTACGTAATTAGGGGACTCTTTTTTGCCCCATGACCTTGACTTTAATAATTCCATCTGCGGTTAAATAATTTTTTTGGGGGGTATCGAATTAATTGTAGTATGGTGTTCAGACTTCATCGGCTGGAATTTCAAGACTCATAATAGCATTATTTTTGGCAGTTTTGCGGTCCTAGTGCTTGGTGAAATCGTAAGTATTTTGATTTGCAGGAAACTTTCCCAATATAATGAGCGAACGTAAAGTAACAAGCTATGAAGACAATAAAGATGGAACTGAATATTTTTGTCTTTGTTCTTAAGTGGTCACATGAGAATTACTATATATAAAATCAAGAGAGTGAGGTGAGAGAAGAAAAGCTTATAAATTTACCAATTTAGGGGATCGATATAAATTATTTGTGGGGAGGGTACGATTGGACTGCATGGCGTGTAAAGTAATAGAAGTAATCAATACTTAATAATGAGGTCAGAGGGGAAGGGGGGATTATTGTGAGGAAGACATGCAGGGGCTTGGATCTCACGGGAGGGAGAGAGGGGCAACGTCGCGGGATCGAATCTCCGTAATATAAAATAAAGAAATGAAAACGGGAAACGGAGGGAGGGAGGGGTTGGAAAGATGAAAGTTGAAAATCAGAGTTGGGCAGTGCTTTTGGTGGTCCCCAGCTAATTTTGCTTTTCGCCTTTGCGCAACGAATTGTATCGTCAGAACCGTACGGGGAGAGTTGCCATCACTCGTATACTTGCCCACTTGTATGAATTGCAGATACCCGTATAATTCCACACACCCTACTCCCCCCCCCCCCGCCCCGGTAGCGTAGCCTATACTTCAAATGCCTCAGAAGCAATCTCTGAGACAGAATCTGAGACTACCACAGACCACCTCCGCATTGACCCGCCATTGAAGCTCCTCTTTTTATATCTCCCCCTGCATTCCTCCTCCTCCTCCTCCTCCTCCTTCATATTCCTGCCCCTCCTTCCTTTCATTGCTTTACTTACTCCCACTCACTGCTCAATCCCATCACTCCCTCAATGTGTGGAGTGAATAATTTGGTTTGACATTATAAGAGTTGATAATTAGTCAAATTAATCATCTGGGCGTTTGACTTTCTCAAGATTTCGAGGTGAATTAACTTCTACTCCTCACAATTTGGATCATTTTTAAGCAATAATGGAGCAAACTACAGGAGGCCTGCCCGGATCCGGTCTTGCTATTCGTGAGCATGACAAGACCGCGCTTGAATCCATCCAGTTCAACCAGGAAATTCAGGGAATCATGGCACCGCCCCCTGAAAACGCCAGCTCCTTCACTGCACTTCTCGAACTCCCGCCGCCGCAAGCCGTGGAGCTCCTTCACTCGCCGGACTGTGGTGGAACCGCCGCTACTAGCAGCGCGTCTGCGAAATCCCTATGCCAAATCAACAACCAGAAACCCTATCTATTCCACTCTTTCAGTGGCAATTTAACCTTTCCTGCGAACGCCGCTTTGATTGAACGCGCTGCCAAGTTCTCTGTGTTTGCCGGGGAAAACTCTAACCCAGAGGATTCCAGCGTGGTTGGACGTAATTCGAGTGCCAATTTGGATAAAGTAAAGAATGAGCCCCCAGAGAGCGATTCGAATCCTAGTCCAATGCAGGGCTGTGCTTCTGATCCCACCGTAGAGAACCCGAACCAGAGGGCTGCAAAGAGGAAGGAGCGAGAGAAGAAGGTACCTTAATTGCTACAAATGGAGGGTTAGGGTTTCTATTTTTGGTAATTTGAGTGAGATTAGTGCTTGAAACCTGAAGTAATTACGGAGTCTGTGAAAACAGGTTAAAGTGTCCTCAAAGAAGAGCAAGGGCGTCGCCGACGAGGCCTCCGGGGAAGCGGAAAAGCTTCCCTATGTTCATGTCCGAGCTCGTCGAGGTCAAGCTACAGACAGCCATAGCTTAGCAGAAAGGGTAATCTGACTAATATCTTCGTTAACCACTCATCAATAATTAAATTAAAATTATTTTTTTGGTCAAAATTTATTTTCGCTGAAGTAAATTTCTTTTATAATATAATTTTATTATCAAATTATATAGGCTAGGAGAGAGAAGATAAATGCTCGGATGAAGCTTTTACAAGAGCTGGTCCCCGGCTGCAACAAGGTCGGTCCCTTCAGTATTTCTAATCCTCGGTTCCCAGGATTAATTAATTATGCTTTATTAATTTTTCGGAAAGGCCTATTATTATCTGATTAATTCGTCTCCCAAGAGCGCAATTATGTATTAAACAACGGTTCTTGTCATTGTCACCTTTTCACCCAAAAAATGCTTGCTTTTACATCAAGAAAAGTGCCCACTTCTCAGTGGGTCTCAACGTGGCATTTATGTAATTTCGCTGGCATTTTGGGAGATTGGTTACAAGTCTTTTCTAAGGCTAAAGTAGTCATCTCAATTTTTGAGGTCCCCTAATCTGGCACCCCGGTCATTCTATTCTGAGGTCACACCGGTGATGTTCCTGTAGGAGGTAGTAGAGTGTCTCCATTGATGGGTTTATCCGACTTTTGGGGTTTCAAGTTTGGACATGAATACTTGGTCAAAAAAAAAAAAAAAAGTTTGGACATGAATCTGAAAGAAGCTGTTCATAACCGGTAGAAAAATTTACATAAGGAAGATTGCATATTTGTCATTTTTTTTTTATGAACATGTATTATGATTGACATCAAGAATATCGCGTATGTTAGTCAATTTTTTAAATGAACTTGTAATTATGCTTCAAATATGACAGAATATGTCATGTGCTATGCTGGAAGCTTAAGCCAATCACTTTCTTGCCTTTCTTCGGCCTCTTGGCATTTTGAAGAGACAGGAGGGTGGGCTTGTGGGGTGGTGGAGGGGTTTTTCCCTGGAGTTATTCTGGCTTTAACGTCTGGGAGACACATATTGCTGTCATGTTGAAACTTGAAACTCGTATCCGTGGGTCCCTTGTATAATTGAAGTTTTAATCCCTTCTTGTGAAGGTGATGATGCCATTATCTCCGAGTTCGGTATACATCATTGTGGGATGACGAAAAAGAAGATGAGAAAACAGTTCATACTTTTGGCGCATCTACCTAACGGCAGCCCTAAGTGGCTTGGGATATTGTACATGTTAAATGAATGTCATCTAAACGCAAGTTAAATACAAACCTTAGGATTCATCACTCCTTTTTTTTTTTTGTGGGGGGGGGGGCTTATTTTGAGTAGTTTGAGGTGTACTGATAATATTAGGGAGTGTGGGCTTGACTTGGTGTTTGGCTACTAGATAATTTATCATCGTGCAGCATCTGATTTATGTTGTTTCATACATGCTTTTGAAGAATTGCTCCTGGGGTTTATCTACGGGGGATAATAATTCAAGTGTTCAACTTCAAGACACCAAACTGACTTGGATTAAATGTCGGGCTTAGATATACTCCAGAGTCATGATCTATGAGCCTACTAAATTGTCTCCTGAATTTAAGCCATAACTTGCACATTGTTTACTTTGGGTTATGAAGTTTTAATTACATAGACAAAGATCCTGCGGGGCATCATTTCAATTGTGTTAATGTTTTTCCGTGGTAGTTATTGATGCAAGCAACTAGATATCTGACTTGAAAAAGATTTGCTCTACAGATATCGGGAACTGCATTGGTTCTGGATGAAATCATCAACCATGTGCAATCTCTACAGCGACAAGTGGAGGTCAGACCCCTAAGACATTTTCCAAAATTGTTTAAGAAACCATTGGAAGGCTAGGTTGTCATTAGCTGGTACTGAATATAACTATGGATAAAGTTTACGCCATGGCCGTTTTTCTGAACCCTCAAAATCGACAGTCTGTATGGCTTCTATGAGATTATGGAATATTTTGGCGGTCCTAATCCACTCAATGAAAACAAAAAAATATTACTTAACCGTAAGCCCTAAATCTTTAAGCAGTCCCAATCTTATTCATTTTGGACTTCATGATTTACCATTTCCCTTTAATTATTTTTTTCCCCAAGAAAAGGAAGGTGAGTTTCGTTCAATAGCAAGTCCTGCATTGTGGACTTGTGGCTTGAAATAGCAGACTCCTAGAATTGCGCATTGCTTAGTTTAGTGTAGATATATGACGATATAAAGTGACAGACAATTTGCAGAAAATGTTTTCTTGAAACATCGTTGTGTCTAACTGAGTTGGCATGGCAACTGAACTGATACCGAAAGTGTTACTAATGGCAGAAGATTAGAAGGAATAAGGATTTTGGTATTGATGACGCAATGTAGTGAAGTTTAAGTTATCTAATATCGACATGATCTTCTGCTGATTGAGTCACTCTGATTTCAGTTCTTATCAATGAAATTGGCCACGGTTAATCCAAGAATTGACTTCAACCTTGACAGCATATTGGCTACAGAAGTAAGTAATAATTGATCTCACTTCCTCAATGATCTTTTCTATTTCCGAAAATATGTTTATTTGTTTTTGGCTTTGGGGAGTCTTGTGGTGCAATGGACAAGTTAATTTTTTTCGCTTTATGAAGTTGCTGGAATGGAATATAGAAGATCTTGCATTCTTAGCTGATTTGCTTCCCCCTTCTCTAGAAAGAGAAATCAAATGTGATGCTAACCAGTAAAAAAGCAACTTTTATGTGATGATAATCCCATCTAATTGTATTTATGTTTGATATGGTTCTTTGTTCAAAATTTTCAAATGGTGAACTTGAACTTGGGGCTGGCGGCAGTGTAAATGAAAGAAAATGGTTCGTAGTCAAAACTCAAACATTGTGATTCTATTCATTCTGCAAGATGTTGCGCCGGACCTACTGAGAAATGTGAATTGATTTATGAAAATGAATGTCAGCCGAGCCGATTAAAGCTTTCTCTTCAGTTGACACACACTCTCACACACAGGTCTTGCTCTATATTTCATGAATCTGACCTGATTATGAGCACTCTAACTTTGTGATTAACGTCATTGTGCCTTTATATCCTTAAATAGGATTAGTGGATCCTGGAATTTAATTAATTTATAGTAGCTGACAGTTCTCCTTCGTTAACTCATAGGGTGCATCTCTCATGGATTGTAATTTCCCCAGCACGGTTGCACCTTTGATGTGGCCGGAAATCCCAGTCAATGGAAACAGACAGCAATATCAACAACAGTGGCATGTTGATGCATTCCACCAACCACTTTGGGGCAGAGAAGGAGGAAACCATAACTTTATCACTCCAGATAACTCTTTTTTGAGTTATGACTCGTCAGCAAATTCAGGTACATCTTAGGCTCTTGGCTACAGCTTTAACTGCATATGCGTCCATCTTAAAAGCCCAAATCGCAAAAGCTTTTCTAGTTCTAACTTCATCCGTATTGTTTCCTATAGCCATTGGCATTGGGCTTCCACAAGTCTCCAGATATTGGAACTATTTGCCGCCTTCTATCTTCTTCTTTTAAACCGATTAAGGCACCGTTTGGGTGACACCCCAAACCATGGTTTGGGGACCCAAACCATGGTTTGGGTGATAAGTCACCCAAACACCACCCCATTTTGCCCAAATCATGGTTTTGGGCCAAAACCATGGTTTTGGCTCCAAAACCATGGTTTTGGAAAAAGCAAAATTTTTTTACTTTTGGAGAAAAAAGGGAGAGTGTGAGAGCCTATAGGATATGTATCTTGTTATTTTTTTTATAAACATATTTTTTTATAAACATATTTAATCTTATATTTTATAAATATATATACATATTATTATTTATTAATTATATTATCTTATGTATTATTAATTATGTTAATAAAAAATATATTATTAACAATTTTATTCCTTCAAATTAAAATATATCATAAAATCTATTTTCTCTGTAATTATCATATTAATTTATGTCTTTTTTTTAGTAATTTGTATATATAAAAAGTGCTTCTGATAACAACTATCCAAACACTCTCACTTCTCAAAATCACTTTTTCATAAAATTTATTCTTTCCAGAATCTATTTTTCTCAGAATCTATTCTTCAGAATCACTTTTTCAAACCACGGTTTGGTTTCATCCAAACACACCCTAAATGAAACAATTGAACACCAAAGGTCTAAAGATCGTTTGAAAGTTGTAATTAAATTTGAATAAATGAAATTTGGCGTTTCTGTCACTTAGATTATTGTAGGAAGTTATAAATTGCGGGAAAGGACTTCAGGTGTTATCATGAAAAAATACAAGCGGCTAGACAGTTTATTTTTAACTAAACTATGCCGGAAACATTGAAAAGGACAACTTTAAGACTGAAAATTTATGTTGTGATACAGCAACTCTGCACTCAAATCAGTTGAAGATGGAACTGTGAAGGCGCATAGAAGTTGTATCAGCAGCTGGTAGAAGAGTAGTGTATATACAAAATATAGAATTAGCAATTAGCTGTGATTTGAGAAGCATCCACATTCAGCAGGGTTTCCGTGCCTTCTATTTGTGGGTCGGAAACCGGGATTTTCCTAAACCAGGAAGAAGAATTGGTATGCCATTCTTATTAGAAAAAATATTATTACTACTATGTATACTAACTATAGGGGTCACTCAATCCAATACTTCATTCATGAGGTTATTGGTTGATTCAGATTGTAAGACCATAGAGTGAACTGTTACTGAACTTTCATGGGAGATTGTTGCTTTGTTTATTGACTGCTATTTAGATTATTGGTTCTTTCTGTGGAGGTGCGTGAAACAAGCTACTTTAATTTCGAATAACGTGTTGAATATTGTACTTCCCTTTTTTTTTTTTTTTCCTGTTTCTATCAAACTGAAGATCAAATTTCGCTATTTGTTGAGCAGGGCTTGCTGCACCGCATTTTATTGTCTTGCTCTCCTGTGCCTCCATTGCAATGGGATTGATCCTTTTTTTTTTTTTTTAATTTGTGGGACTATTTCGTGGCGTTTGACTGTTTGACTGAAACAAGTATTCCAAATACATCCAATTTCGTGACAAACGTTTATGGTGACAAGTTCAAGCAGCCTATGCAGTTGAAATATTAAAAAACGATTTTTTGGGGTAGTATGTTGAGTTACGAAGACAAAACAGTATACTACTTTTTTTCCTTTTCACACGCTCTCTCATGTTTGAAAATCTAATCCCATATGTCATGAAATAAATTATAACAAAACAAAATTATGTACAGTATAATTGGTTCAATAAACGGATCTAATCTTCATAAGTACATACTGATTGTGCACGTATCAAAGAATATCCGAGTGTGTGATCGTACGGGCAGTTCCCTTGGGATTGGTAAAATGATTGTACGTTAGGCTTCGATTAAAATCCGGCTCGCGGGGGAATGGGTAGATGTGCCTGCCAGGGATATTCTTCGTTGCGCGATGTTTATCCTAAAAAGCCTGCAAATTAGTTACTGAGTTCTTATGGTTCCAATGAGGCCAGAACGTGAGTTCCAGCCTTCCAGGGTTCAAACTTTATCATTCATATTTTGGAAACTACTGCAATCAAAAGCTTCGACGAGTCAAGCTCAACACCAGAAATACATGCGTGTCCAACCGAAGAAGACACATTCGTTGAATTAAACTTGAACCAGGCAAATCTATTGCTTGTATTACTTTCGAAATCTCAGCTTCACATCAATTTAATTGCCCAAGGGTTGACAAGAAATCCTCCTCTGCTTACTCTTTTCAATATTCCGTTCCTTCCTAATGTCCTTCGACGTTTACACTCTTTATCTGTCATCTCTGCACCTCCTCTCCTACTTCACACCCATCACCTGAAACTCCTATATCACTGTGTCCCTGCTCCACCGTCTCTTCCGTGTTCGCTATTTCATTCATGCGTGGATCTTTACTCTGTGAAGAAAGTCCACGCCGCTCTTATTGTCTCGGATGCATTGTTATCTAAATCCGTTGCTTCAAAGCTCATAACCTTGTATGCTCGATTCCATGATCTGGGAAGTGTCCTTGGGATTATAAGAACTCTAAGGAAAGAGCCTGATACGATGATGTGGAATTTGGTTATTAAGACCCTGGTTGAGTTGGGACTTCCCCGCGCGGCCTTTTTATTGTACAAACAGATGAGAATAGCGGGTGTTCTCCATGATGCATTTACTTTTCCTGCAATAAACCAGGCTTTATCTGCCATCCGAAGCGATGCTGTGTTTGCAAAAATGTTCCACTGTCAAGCAATTCAAATGGGTTTGGATATTGATTTATATTTTTACAATACCATGATCGACGTCTATGTGAAATGCGGGTGCGTCACCTCTGCACGTAACTTGTTTGATGTTATGTTTCACAGAGATTTGGTTTCCTGGACATCTCTAATTTCTGGATATATTTCCGAGAGACATGTTAGTGTCGCCTCTCATTTGTTCAACAAAATGAGGACGGAATTGGAGCCGAATTCGGTGACTCTACTTGTCATGTTGCGAGCATGTTGTGCCTCTAAGACTCTGAGGGATGGAAGCCAAGTTCATGGGTATGCCATAAAGAGTGGGTTGTTAAGGGATGCTTCATTGCAAAATGCTGTTTTGAGCATGTATGCTAACACTGGGAGTACAGAATGCGTGGAAACTGTTTTCAGTGAAATTCACAGAAAAGACATTGTTTCCTGGAACATTTTGATTTCCTTTCACGGAATAAAAGGAAATATCATGGAAGTATCTCGTATTTTTAAGGAAATGCATGGTGGAGCAGATTTTTCGTGGAACATTCAGACTTTAACCCTAGTTTTATCAGCAATCGCAAAGTCTTGTAGTCTTTCTGAGGGTGAAAGCGTCCATTGCTTAGTCATAAAAACAGGACTATCTGATGATATTTTGCTGACTTCTTTGCTCGATTTTTACGCAAAATGTGGGAAATTGGAAAGATCTGTTGAATTGTTCAGAGAAATTCAATACAAGAGTAACATTGCTTGGAGTGCTATGATGTCAGGTTTTATTCAAAACGGTCATTTTATGGAGACCATAACTCTATTCCAGCAATTGCAAGCAACAAACCCTGATCCTGATCCTGTAATTTGGAGAAATCTAATTGATGCATACGCTAATCTAGGTGCTCTGAAATTAGGCAAAGGAGTTCATGGTTTCCTTGTGAAGAACTTGTTTAATGGAATTGAGGAAGACATTGCACAACTGGAAAACTCCATTTTAAACATGTACGTAAAAGGCGGTAGCATTTCTTCAGCTCGAGCATATTTTGGTAGGTTATCGAGCAAAGATGTCGTAGCATGGACAACTATGATTGAGGGGTTTGGGTCCCATGGTTTTGGCTATGAAGCCCTCAACTATTTCGCATTAATGATTGAACAAAGAGTTCAGCCAAACTCTGTCACCTTCGTAAGCTTATTATCTGCTTGCAGCCACTCTGGTCTTGTGAGTGAAGGCTGCAAAATTTACTGCACCATGAAATGGGATTTTGGTATTGAACCAGCTTTGGATCACCAGACCTGCTTCGTGGATCTTTTAGGTCGACACGGGTTGCTCAAGGAAGCCTTATCCATAATACTGAAAATGATTGTTCTGCCTGATAGCAGGATTTGGGGTGCTCTTCTAGCGTCTTCCAGAGTTTATGGAAACCAGAAAGTTGGGGAATATGCAGCAGAAAGACTTCTGGAATTAGAACCTGACAACGCTGGTTATTATACTTTGTTGAGTAATGTCAAAGCAAGTGCTGGAAGATGGGATGAAGTTGAAGAACTTAGGACAGCCATGACTGAGAAAAATCTCAAGAAGAAACCAGGCTGGAGCTGTATTGAAGTAAACGGGGTCATGCAGGGATTCACTTCAGGGGATATATCACATCCTGAAGCAGAGTATATTTATGAAACATTGAATTGTTTGGCAATTGCAACTCCTTGTGTCTAAAATACTTTTGATATTTGTTATTTGATATATGTGTATCTCCTTGAGAGTACAGGTGTTATTATGGACACACTCGACCTGCGTACCGCATGCAAAGGTGTTGCTGGGGGTTGTATTCCGGGCCGGCCCAACAAGTCATTTGTTTTTGTTTTTTGTTTTGTTTTAACCAAACAAGTCATTGTACTTGATTTGTTACTCTTTGTACTCAGTTTTATTTAGATCTTTATAAAAAAAAAAAAAGTGATTTTTCCTTCTTCCTTGTATGTTTTTCCTGGTTTTTTTGGGGGTGGGGGGAGACTTCGGACTCCCACCATGGGCTTGGCCCTTAGATCTCTGCGGATAACATGCTGTGGTTAATATTTAGCTAAATCAAAGGAGTATAATAATTAAGAATGACGATTGAATTTAAAATCAATGAGATTAAAAACACTACTGAGCTCCTTGAATCCGCGGGGTTAAGCGTAACTGAGAATAATATACAACATGGAGGTGGATGAAGAATCAGACACAGGAACCTGAGAGGGTTGGGCTTGGGCATGATATATGCCCACTGTTTTCGAGTCAGCATCTGATTACACACAACACGAATGAAGCCCCCATGTTCTCTGACCAACAAAAACTCAAAAAAAAAAAAAAAAGAAAGAAAGAAAGAAAGAAAGCGATGCTAAACTTTTTGTTTCTTTTTTTTTTTGGCCCTTTTTTAGAGAGAGAAATCACTAATACTCAGTCAAATTAAGAAAGATGGTAGATGGATCTAAATTTTAATAAAGAAGCAGCAATTACACATGCGTTGAGGCAGATCCGAAATGTTGGGACATTCAGTGTAAGAGGAAGAAGAAGCCTCATAGTTTGTGGTTTTAGTTTCAGTACTTATCACTTTGATAAGTGTTCTAAACCCATCAGATCTAAGTTGTTTATATCTGATTTGAACAGTCTAGATTTAAAATCTTTAATTAATTACTTTTAAATAAAAAATTATCTTTTAAAAAAATAATATTTAATATATTATTTTTATTTTAGATTTTATACATATTAAAATAATTATTTTAAATAAATATCAATCATCCAAATAAAATATACACAGCTAAATCTAATGAGTTTTATATGCTCACCAAAACGAAACTCCATCCCATAGTTTGAATATATATGAAAATGCAGAAGTGGTAGGATAGATACAGCTGGGAACACAGCACTCTGACACAAACCAATCAACGAGGCAATTAACTAGTGCAGTCAAATCTTTGGCTCCCACACAAAATCAAAACAACGATCCCATGGCAGGCAGGCCAGCATAGCCAGAATGACATGTCTTGCTCTCCAATACAAAATAAAAACAATAGATATGGTGTACAATAGATATAAACTGTGTCACATAAACCAAGTACAGAAAATGGAATTTGAGAATCGACAAGGCCATTTGACCCAAACAGATACTCTGTTGATTAGCACAGGAAACCCGACAGTGGCCTTTTTCGCGGCGGGATCATAAACATTAAATATAATAATAAATATATACAAAATATGGAAAAAAAAAGCTCTTGATGAGATGTGTAAGCCGGTGCCAGCAGTGCCACCGACGGTCGGCGTTACTCATCCCTTCATTTGGCGATATTCAAGGGTCCCACCGGAGATGCTTGTTTTCCAATGGTGGGATCCGCACTCTTCCATCACACCGACTGAATAATTCATTCCGTTCAAGTGATCGAGCCCCTTTTTGTCATTTCCCTGCCCTTTGTTTTATTCAACAACTGTGTTTTGGCATTCCCAAACAACATACATAGATTTTCTCCTATTATCTCCCCCTTTGAGATTTTTATTGATTTTAAAGATGTCAAATATCACCTCTATTTTTGATATAAAAGTTTTAATCTTCAATTTAATTTTAAATATAAAGTATTATTTTATTTTAT